AAATCAAAAGACAAAAGAAGAAATAAAACCTTAAAAAACAGCTAGAAAAAAAAATGGACATCTTACCATCAAAGTAGAAATGATATCTAACTTTTTAAAAATTTATTTTTATTGATTTTTTTACAGAGAGGAAGAGAGAGGGATAGAGAGTTAGAAACATCGATGAGAGAGAATCATTGATCAGTTGCCTCTTGCACACCCCTGCTTAAATGTGCCCACAAGCAAGGTATATGCCCTTGACTGGAATCGAACCTGGGACCTTTCAGTCCACAGGCCGATGCTTTATCCACTGAGCCAAACCAGTTTCGGCAATATCTAACTTTTTAAAAGACATTATTGGAGCCAGAATACAAAGAAATTACATAATTAAAGTAATGAGATGGGGGCGGGGGGAGAATGTGCCAATCTCTATTTCTATACCCCACAAAAATATTCTCCAGGAATGAGAAAGAAAAACCGAAGTATGTTAGAATTCACTGTTAGCAAATAGACATTCCAAAAAGTATTGTAGGAAATTAATGCCCAGTAAAAGCGATGGGCAATAAAGACCTCCAGAAAGGGTAATTGGATGGGTAGATATAAACAAATATTAACTGATTCAAGCAATAATAATAAAACTGTCCTGTGGAATTGATAACAACATAGAGGTAAAAAGATATGTCAACAAGAGTGCAAAGGGTAGAAGGATAAAAAAAAAAAGTTGTGAAACTGATGTTTCTTTTATTACTCAGGAAATGGTCACAGTACTGACAGCATAGGCTATTAAACTCAGGCTTGCATACTGAAATCTCTAGGATTATTACTAGAGATAAAATACAACCATATATCACTAAAAAATAATCGAGGAAAAATATTGAGTAAAAAATACTTGAGGAATCCAAAAGAAGTCAAGAATAAGAAATAAAGGATATATGTGAAAAATAGAAACTGAAAGCTAAGGATATCATAATTACAATCAAGGTATGTGGAGTAAATATACTTTAAAAAGTGAATTTTTAAAAAGGACCTGGTTATGTGCCATTTATAAGAGATATAAGTTAATTATAAAATCACAGCTAGGTAGAAAGCAAAAGGGTGGAAAGAAGATGTATCAGTAAAATAGTAATAAAGAAATGTTGGAATGGTTGTATTTACATGGAGCAACGTATCTTACTGGAATATAACGATTGCTCAGTAAGTTAGCTCAAATTATTAAAAGAAAAAAAAACATTTTAACAATTCAAAATCTAATGATTTGGGATTTTATAAGCCTAATTTGGGGATGAGTCTTAAAATTTTCTAATATTTTTTAAAACTACTTTTCAGAATCTACCAAAAAATTTAGGTTTATTTGCTCAGAAAAAATTTTCAACTGATTATATACATGTCATCATGATACATATCACAATTATACCATGGCTACCTCCATGCATTAAATATTTCAATTTGGATTCCCTTAAGTATACCAAGGAGGACTATGAAACAGCAGCATGTTTAAAATTCAGGAAGATAGCCCACAAAGGGTAAGACAGAGAAAGGTAGATCCCTGGCCTCCTGACTTATTGTCCAATATTCTTTTAACTTCAGTATCATGAAGACCTTTATGAAACTCATTTAATAAGTATTTTTGAACATTCACTCTATGAAAGGCACAGATATAATCATTGGATATAAAATAAAATAACAGCAAGACCCTGCCATCAGTAGACTTGCAGTCTTAACAGAACACAGATCTTAAATGTTTTAAAAAAGAATTATTTTATAAAACTTTTAATGAGTGCAATAGCATGTAGGGAACTCTTCAAACAGTAGGATTCAGCCTAGTGTAGTTTTTATGAAAGATTTTTCCTAGGAAGTCGGGATCAGAGTTCATTAGGAAAAGAAGAAAGGAAGAATATTCTGGCGGAGAAGAGGAAGTGTGATGGCCTGAGATAAAAAGGATCTTGGTTGGAACCTTAGGACTGGAAGACAGACAGTTTAGTTAAACAGAGAGAGAGAGAGAGAAAGAAAGAGAGAGAGAGAGAGAGAGAGAGAGAGAGAGAGAGAGAGAGAGAGAGAGAGAGAGAGAAGGGGGGAGTGGTGGCAGCATAGCAGTGGATGGGGGAGGAAGTTCAGGAAGAGAGAGGTAGAATAAGATTGAGATCATAGGGCTAGAAATTATGGCTCACAGTGTTACAAATATTTTTTAAAAGACAATATGCAGGAATATTTAGCATGTGGGCAACAATCTATCCCATATTAATAGTTTGTGAAGGTGTCAGAGTACTATGGGAACATGGATTGTAAGATTATCATCACTTCCTCTATTCGGTATAATTCTTAAGGTGCCAATTATATAATATATAATGTTTTTCACCAAAAATAGATGAATTCAAATAGATTTGATATATAATATGCCAAATTTTTTTAAGGTAGAACATTTGTATATTGGTAATCTTTTATCTTTAAGTGGTAGAAAATGAAACTCAAATCAGTATATAGATAAAGGAAGTAGTTGAAAGCCAAGAGCTTCAGGTGGGGTTTGATCCAGTAGCTTATCATGTTATCTGGGACCTGATTTCTTTCTCTTCTCTGTTTTGCTTTCCATGTTCCCTGTAGGGCTGGCCCTCTTCATGGCCACAAGGTGGTTAGTTATTTTCTCTTTCATGTCCAAGAGGGGTGAGAGGAGGGCATTGAAAGGAAAGAGAGAGGTTATTCTTCCTCAGTCTTTAAGAAAGACTCCTCAGTTACATTAGAACAAAACAATTCACATGTCCATTCTTGATACGTTAACTTGCAATAGGGGTCAAGTTATATTAATTATTTTGATTAATCAGGACCCACCTCTGAAGCTAAAGATGGTGTTAAATCCCTTGGGCTCCATGGTGATGTATGTGGAGAAATAAATGCCTGGGACAGTAGCAGACCATATCCACATGTTATTTCTCAAGCTAAACATTGACCAATTGGACTCTAAGCTCTGTGAAACCAGGAATCATATCCCTCTTGTTCGTTGCCATAGTCCCCACATAAGGTACAAGGCGTATCAACAGAGAACCTTAATAAATACTTAGTTATTGCTGAATAAACAAAAGATTTTTTTTCTGTTTGGAGAAGTGCACAATTTTATTCGTGTGCTTCTTGATGCTCCCTGATTGCAGTTGTAGAAGCAGGAAGTACTGGGATTGATCATCACACAAGAAACATTTTCTTCTACGATATTTAGCACTATTTCTGAAGCAAAAGAGGGTGAAGTCATTTGGAATAAGGCAAAATTAAGTCAATCATTTATTTCCCTGATTATGGATCTCAAATGGAAGAGAGAAAATAAAGAGAAGGGAAGAGGAGGGAGAAAAGAAAAATAAAGGAAGAGATAGAGGAAGGGAGAAAGGAAGGGAAAAGGAAAGAAAGGAGGGAGGAAGGAAGGAAGGGAGTAAAGAAGAAGGGAAGAAAGGAAAGAAGGAAGGAAGGAAGGAAGCTAGGAAGCTATAACTAGAATCCGATTCTAGGGCAAAGGCACTTTGAGATGCTGGGTATTCTATGACATCATTTTTCTAAGTGTGTGTCTTGTGTGTGTGTATTTTGTTTCCTGATAAATGTCAAGCCTCATTTGAGGTTTTGCAATTTACTAAACAGTTATGAGAATGTGGATAACAAGTTATAAATCACCCAGTCACTTGGGTGTGGATATAAATCTGGAGCCAAATACCTGAGAGTCCACTTCATAATAGGAATAATAAGACTACATGAAAACACGACCCATGCCCCAAACTATAGGGTTGTTTTTTTTTTTCCTAGAAAGCTGTCTGACATGTTTATATGCACGTATAAGAATTGTATCCAAGGGAAAGAAAAACAATTGACTTTGTGACTTTATGGTCTGTCATTGACTTTTAGGGTATTTCATGAAATGAAGTAATAACTTCAAGATCAAGGGCATTTCCCTTTGGGTCTTCATCAATTATTTCACTCTCTTTTGGCAATGGCCTCCACCCACTTCTTCCGAAGTATCCACCATCAGGCTGACATTGCACTGGAAAATCTTACTCTCTCTCTCTGCCTTCCTGAATGCGTGTTTCATGCATTAAATTGTTTCAATCACTACAGTTTTTACTAGAGTTTGGCATTTGGTACATTTGCTGAATTGTGTGTTCCCAATTTAATGCTTTTAGAACGTATTTAAGTAAGTTCCAATACACTTAGTCATTGCTATTCAAATGAGAGAACCATATTTCAAGGAACAGCTCAGGGAGAGAGAGATGAGGTGAGTAATGGGTAATAAGTGAAAACCATCTATCAAGACACATTGGAGGCTGAAACAGATGGTGAAGAAAAGCCCCCAAGTCCATTCCTCTTGGCCTCTGAGGGCCTATCGGCTTTATTTCCAGCAAACATACACCTTGGCTGGCTTCCCCTCCTAGCTTCTGGCTGATCTTTCCTATTTTAAGATTTTGGAGAAGCAGGAAACTAACTTGTTTCTCAGACCTAAACTCGTAAAAAAGGCAGCCCCACAGGGAGGGCAACGGCCGATCTCGGGAGCCCCAAGCAGGTGCTGACATTTATTGGGCAGGTTGGCAGAGCACCCAGCCTCAGCACTGGTTTCTAATAGGTGTTCATAGGACTAGGACCAAGGGACAGTGGAAGGCAGAGACTTTCAAAGTAGGTATAGCTTGTCTTCTTCACCCCACTTTTATTACAGTCAAGTGCCCAGGCATTGGTGACCCTATGAATGTCCAAATTCCAAAATTGAACTTCTCTCTCTCTTTGAGAAATGTTCCCAACTTTTGAGCTTCCAAGTTCTCAAATATATAAGTAGACATAATGATACTGACTTTTCAAGAACGGTGTGTGGCTTACATGAGAACATGTGTATAGCTGACCTCACAGAGCCAGGCACATGTTCAATGTGTTTCCTGCCCTATATCTCTGCCTGGCCTGGCCTTTCTTACAAAATTTGGGGAGTTAGCAATGAATATAAAAGCAGGGAGGGAGCATCCATAACTGGTTGTCCAAGACCTAAACATGGAAAAGTAACTCCTTATGTGCTTGCTTGGGCAGCACATAGACTGAAAATTAGACACTACAGAGAAGATTACCATGGCCCCTATATAAGGATGACTCGCAAATTTCTGATGCATCCTTTATTAAAAAAGAAAAAAGATAAAGAAAGATAACCTCTCAGGCAACTCAGTGATTTGTATCAAGTTAGCAGTATGAATAATCAGAGCAATATCACTTTTAGAAATTTGTCCTCCAGAGATATTCACCTAACTGATAACGACAAAGAATTACAAACCACCTTAATGGCCATCTAAAAAGCTCCTGGTTAAATAGGGTACATCCAATAGCATTCAACTTCTGAAAGTGATGGGATAATCCTATTGTTATTGTTGCTAACATTTGTCTGTGTCACAGGACAAATTGAAAAAACGAGTTTACAAGTCAACATGTATGGTGTGCTTGCATATGTGAATATATGTATCCATAACCATATTCATACTTATAGTTATGCAGAACCAGATGCAACAAAGAGATATTTGGAAGGATGTTAAACGGGATTTTTTTTACATTATTCTATCTCTGAAAAGTGACATCTGAATGTAAATTCTATTTTTGTCTTTGTACTTTCCACCCTGTGTGATTTAAAAGAACAACAGCAATGGCCTTATGAAGCATTTGTCCAAAATGCTAAGACTGTGCTCCCCGAACAGCTCTAAGCCAGTTGGAAACCCTGAGCAGAGATATTTCGGTCTCAGCCTGCACTGACAGTACCTCATCTTTTCCCTCCCACTGTCATTACCCAGGTAGCTGATTATTTTCCCACTACACTGAACTCTCCTCCAAAACCCGGGTTTTACCTTTCCTCTTGTCCCCAGTCTGCATACCAAGGCAATAGCGGATGCTCAGGGAGTGTTTTCAGTGTTTAGATCCAGAGTCTGGTGATCTGGACGCTATTCCAGTTCGGACATTGCTGGGCAGTGAGGTCATAATCGACACCTTTTCCAGAGATGGCTCATCCTCAGACAAAACTAGCATGATCTCGGAGGCTCCCTCTATTCCTGACCTTGTCATTCTGAAACTGAACTTGTCCAGGCCTCAGATATCTGAGGAAATCAAACACGACAACTTATACAGCTCAGCTTTGTGGGCTCCAAAATGCTATAAAAATGCAGTATGGGGTTACAAATAAAGAAAAAAAACAAAAACAATACCAACAACAATAGTGACCATTGTATATTGATGCCAGAACAGAGCAAGTTGGAATAGGATCTAAATAATTTCAAATTGCCCTTCACCTTCCCCGCCCTCGCCACAGGGCCTGCATTCCCTGTGGAGTTGCCACCGACACTCAGTTTGGGGATTAAAGCAGGACCTGACCCGGATTTGCTCCCCATTGCCCATGCCCTAGATTGAAATGTTAAAGGACTTGGAATAAAATAGTTGCATTTTCAGTAACAGCTTCACAGGAACTGGGGAATTAATGTCAGCCAGGCGGTGATTTCCCAGTGGTTGGGTTTGTAGCAAAAGCCTTCAACTTTTATGTGTGGCCTGTTTGAAGTTGAAAATTGTTGTTAGACTCTCCCAAGTTGTTTGAGGTGTCACTCATCCTTCCCTTTTGTGTTAAGGCGAGAATGTGAAGCACAGCGGCTGGGAATGGTTCCGTGACTGCAGTCCCCAAGGCAGATCTCTGGCAGGGCCCGGTTGAGCCTGTCTCCCAGGGAATTCAAAGTGTCCAGGGCTTTGTGGCCCTGCCCCCATGTTCAGCTCCATGGCCCACCCTCCCCTCAGGAACTCTACATCCCGGAAGAGGGAGGATTCCAAGGTCCCATGCAAATGCACGTCTCAACAGTTGTTATTCAGTGTAAAATTGGCACTCCTGGGATGTCGCTCTTCGGAGAGGCAGCAGCACGGGCAATAAAAATAATAATGCTAGCATAGCAATAGCAGCAATGATGATGATGATAATGATAATGATAATGATAATAATAATAGATAACATCTTATTTAGCACTGATTATAGACCAAACATTTTATATAAGATTGATTGTCTCAGTCATCCCATTGGATAGATATATTTCTGTTTTACAGATGAGGCAATGGAGGCCCAGTAAGAAGCTTCCTGTGACTGTAGTGGAGAGTGTAAGAAGATTAAATAGGTAGACACACGAAAACAACCTTGAGGGGGTTGGCACTGACTGACCTTTCCCCAACATAGCACTTGAAAACCACTAGTTTGTGGCAGTCTTGATTTTGCTCCCCTGGGCTCCCCTTTTGCAACCAGACTGTGGCTTCCAGCGGGTGGACAGTGTATTCTATTCCTTTCAAGGGCAGTGTCTTGCCCAGGTAGCTTCTCCACACACACTTGGCAGTTGTACTTGGTGCTAAGCAAAGTGGAATGTAGCATGTACTTTTGCCTGGAGTGTTTTTGGGGAATAGCAAATAGCTCTCTCCTTGGGTAAGGAACTCTGGGTCCAGCCCAACAGTCATTTGGAATGTTTGTTCCCTGGAACCAGCATGTGTTTGGTGCGGGGAGAGCTGTTTGCCAAGTGAAGGGCTTATGGACAGGGCCCCTCTCTCTCTGACCTTGTTTGTTTTTTCTTCCCAATGATGAGATTAATTATTTCCTAACCACTTGAATTTGTTTCTAGCCGAGGAATTGTGCCATAAGGTTGAAAGAGTCATGTGCAGATTGTTGGTTTGTTTTTGTTTTGTATTTGACTCCCAAGACTTTTGTTTCATAACATGGTGTGATCACAGGGTGAGGGCCCGTCTGGAGTCACCCAGGCTATTGTCCTGTGGACTTTTGGGGACATCTTGGAAGAAACTTGTAGATTCCTAAAGAAGAATTTAGACTGAAATTAAGAGGCATTTGGTGGATACTCAACATGTTGTCTTTTATTTTAGGCTAAGTAGAAAACAGAAACACTCTGGTCTCCAAAAGTGTGCTAAGAGCTGGCTCGGAATGGCTTATGAAAACCAGTGATTAAGCATTCAAGAATGTTTGAGCCTGTTGTCCAACCATTGGTAGCTTGAAGTAATCTACAGTGGGAATATTTACAACCATTGAAATTGGCAAATGTTACAAACCAGGGCTTCTTCCTTCTCTTTCTCTTCCACCTCTCTCAGAGCTGGTTTCTCTGCACACCACAGGGTCTCGCCCATCTAGAGGAATAGCATTTTCTACATCCAGACAAAAAGCCTATGCTTGGAAGCACTGGGGGAAATATATGATGTCTTAAATTTCAGTCGGGCAAGAATCACCTGTTTCCTTGGCAAATATATCCCACGTCATTGCATAGCACAGGGTCTGTCACATAATAAGTGCTCAGTAAACAGCTGTTGAATGGATGCAGTACTGGTGGGCTGCTAGGCACCTTCACAGCAGTAGCCAGTCAGTCCAGACCAGCCTCCTACACAGGAACCCTTCCAGAGCCACACATTCTCCAGAGTCACTCAGGAAACTGGATTGTCACTCTTTTATAGTACTGTGTCATTTAGTTTTTGCTGTTGTTGCTAATCTTTATCCGAGGATATTTTTCCATTGATTTTTAGAGAGAAGGGATGGGGAGAGACAGAGAAAGAGAAGTATCAATGTGAGAGAGAGACACACATCCATTGGTTGCCCCCCTTAGGCACCCTGACTAGAGCCAGGGGTTGAGTCTGCAACCAAGGTAGGTGTCCTTGAATGGAATCAAACCCAGAACCCTTCATTCAGTCCATGGGCCGATGCTCTAGCCACTGAACCAAACCAGGTAGGACTGTGTCATTTACTTTTTGAAGACAATTGTAATTCTATCAGAGTCCACCATCCACTTTAAGCTCGCAGAAGCAGAATTCTTCTGATTCCTTTTTAAAACATAGCAGATGCTCAATAAAATGAAACATCTGCAAAAAGGGTGAGTAATAATCTTGGACAAAGTCACAATACATCACGGTTTCCTAAATATTTGATGGGTGTTGTGTGGCTTGTTGCCATGATATGCCTGTGAGTAGGCAGAATAGAACAGTTGTCCCTCCCAGCTGCCAAAACACAGTGCCTGGCACGTTGCGGGGACTAAGTATTTATTGATTTTATTCTCACTTGGTCCTTCCATTTCACAGATGAAGAAACAAGCCTGAGGAAGTTACCTGATATTGTTCATTTTTTGATAGTATCACTACTCTCTACACTAAACTGCCTCTATTAACAGTTCCTAAAAAACAAAACAAACAAACAAACAAACAAACAAAAACACAGTTCCTTGGCTCTTAATGCCTTATTGCTCATCCTCACATTTTTTTTCATAATAGCTCTATCAGGTTGGCAGGTATGTGCACTCATGCTTTAGGGGTGATGATACCAGGACATAGAACGTTTTAGAAACATGCTTGTGATACACAAGGACTTGAGGGTAAAGCCAGCATTAAAATCTACGTGCCTAAGAATTCCTGAATTTGACTATACATTGTGTATTGTACTCATGCATTCCTTCAGAGAGACAGAGGTTGATCAAAGTAGGCTAAGCAAAAAGCATTGTGCCACAAAACACTTTCTAACCTCGTCATGAGCCCCCACGATGTTTCTCCCATCTGAAACACCTTAAAACATGCTGATGATGAGAATTTGTGCTTTGCCACGTAAGCCTCCCGAAGATTCAAGTTGAAGTTTCAAATGTAAAATTACAGGAAATACCTTCTTTTTCTTTTGTGAATAGAATCTTGAATTCTTTTTTTAAACCATCTGAGAAGGTGCTGATTTTCCACATACATGAAAATTCCATGGTTTTTCCTTTCCTAAGACTCTTAACATTTCAAAATGGCCACAACACCTCCTGTATGCGTTCTGGAAAGGGTCCAGAATTAAGCATGATGACTTTTAAATTCGTGTTGTAAAACTCTGATGCTGTTTCCAGCACAGTGCCTCATTTCCGATGAAAAGCATGCTGCCAGCTCCCCACTTTCTCTGTGGACGGTATCACCACTCATTTCATTAAAGCCACCAGACACTCCTAGCAGCATGCATGATGTCGTTTTGCAATGTGGGGGGAAATAATTTTGGAAATGGGAGCCAGTTCACATTTCTAAAGCATGTTTTTTCATTCTTGCCTTTCCCTTTTGACCTTCCTGAGGATGCGTGTGGGTGTTAAATTGTTACCAAGGGGAGGGGCT